CCCCGCCCACACTCACTCCGTCGTCCTCCTCGCACTCCAGCACGATGGCCGCAAGTATTCCCGCTGAAACCAATCTGCTGGTCAGCTTCTGCAGGTCGCCCTTGACCGCGTACACGAACCCTGCGCCCCACAAACGCCCCTCAAACACGTTTCCCACACGCCCCCAGGCCGCGTCGCAACAAAACAAACGCCGATCACGCCCCAAAATTCGCGCTGCAGCCGCCTTCAGCCCATCGGCGCCGCGGTTGCCCCCGTCGCCGTCCAGGCCGGCCCCGGACACCCACCCTCGATGCCCGGCTCGGGGGGGATCAGCACCACCACCACGCCCCGGAGGAAGGCCATGAGCGGATTTATTATCCCAGCCCCGCGCCAGGATCGCCCGCTGCAGCCGCGGTGCGGTGGTGTGGCATGCGGCGGTGCCCCTGGGCGCTGCCGATGGGGGGGAGGGGGGCTGTGGCGTCCGCGGGAGGCCACGCCGGCCTCTTCCAATCTTCTTCCGCCCAATTCGGCCGGGCTCCCACTCAAGAGTGCGCGTGTCGAGCTTCGGGCGGGCTCAGAGCTGCGGTACCTGCTGGTTTGTAAAAAAAACTCGGAAGTACGGATGCGGAAATACGGCAGGCGGCGGATTCGGCGCACCGTGGGGAGAGGAACATGGAGGGCGCTCCCAATACGCAGACGTGAGAACAGCACCGGGACCGGTTCCCACACAAGTACCTAAACCCTAAAACTACCCAAAATCCAAAAAAAACCCAAAAACTAGAAACCCTAAAAGAGACCGGTCCGTGTACCAGTGCCGGCCTCAATATCGGCCCCAGTCTCGCTCCCAGTTTCGGTTCCAGTCTAATGTCTGCTTAACATTGCGGAAATACGGCCCTGCGCATCCTGGCTTTTGGCATGCGCGCAAACGCCTGCGGCGTTCATTCCATTGATGCAGTGACTCACCAGCTTGTCCTCATACAAGTTTGCGCCACTTGTGGCACACATCACAGGCAAAAATCGGTCCATACAGCACTTTTCTCGAACACACATATATGCGTTTCGTCAGTATTCTGCATGCCAAAAACACGGAAATAACCCAGACCCGTAAACTTTGCACACGTGTCAACACGTGTTATTTGGTCCTTTTTTCCCTAGTGCATATCGCCCCGAATTTACTGTTCCCAAAACACTCGCTACATGTTCAAGTATGAGTTTTGCCAACAACAAAGTCGGCCAGGAGCGCATCCATGGAATGTATGTCGCACAAGTGCAAAATGAGATGGCGCGTCTGAGCTGCTTGTAACCCGGTTTGCATTTGTCATGCGTGATTTTCGTAAGCTTGGCACCATCAAAGCGAGGAGAATGATTCGCCCAAGATAGACAAGCAGGCTAGCTGTTTACACCGTAAACACAAATTTCATTACGTATTACGTGCAAAAATATTTTTTACGTTTCTACCCGTAAAAATGCGTAAAAATATGTAAATACAACGTAAATAAAGCTCGTGTACATTGTGCCTGTGTTGCGTGATCAACCCGTGCCCAACTGTCCCTGCTCTGGCCATGTTGTGTATGGGCCGTCCGCCAAGCACATTAAGGGCGTGAAAGGCTTGCAAGCCACCTGTGCATACTGCCAGCAGTTCGCGAAGGGCAGTGAGGAGTGACGATGCTGCCATCTCGCTGGCATCGTTTGCTCTGGCGTGCCAGCATACACTAGCAAACTGCCTCAGGAGGTCAGGGAGGAGTTTGGGCACCATCGCGTGGCGCTTAAGAAGAAATCTGTTCACCACAAAGTCGCGGCTTGTGTGCACAGAGCTGGCCATTTGTGGCAGTAGCTTGGTGCCAACCGCCAGCTACGTCCAAGCCGTGCACCTGGTGCCGGGCACCACTTTAGGTCCTATGGTGGATGCGATTAAAATTGCGGGGAAGGGTGCTGTTGGCCAGGCATGGGCACTGTGTTGCGGTTGTTGGAGATGGTGGAGGACAGGTAATTGTACACGACTTTTGTCATGTAGCCTGGGTGTTCCAACGAGCCGCAAAAACGTAAAAATAGGCGCAACAATAGCCCCTTTCGCAAATTTACATTTTTGCGCATTCAAACGTAAATGCAAAAACGTAAACATAAGTACCAAGCCTGCGGAAAAGGTGGGCACAAGATTGAATTTGTTGCAAGGTGCATCAGTCTCATTCCGGAAAGGGCGGGGGGGAGGGGGTTGGGGGTCTCATTATTTGGTTGTTTTCAAGATTGCCAATGTCGCTTCGGCAGCGAAAGTGACCAGCAACTTCTATGTTTCCAATGCAAAGGTGGCAGTGTCGTTGTTGAAGATCTCCTGCGTGGCGCGTTGCTTCTGTTGCTTTAGAGTAACCTTGTGCTATGTGGTTGGGTGTCGCTCTTCCTTGAGCAAAACCACACAACTTTGTTTTTGCATGCGTTGGTGTACACCAGCACCGATGTAAGGGCATACTGGAGGCACATAGGCATAATTACCCTATTAGAGATGAGTGTTCTGATTTAAATTTAGAAATTTCTAACACAACGAACCGCCGAACCCAGATTCGTCGAGGTCCAACGTTCCCTCGTATGGTGGCGGCCACAGTTGGCGCATTTGGCCTCATGCCAAGCAGGCTTGTTATTTACGTTTGCGTTTTTGCGTTTATGTTTCTACGCACAAAACGTATATTTGCAAAAGGGCTATTTTTGCGGCTGTATTTAGATTTCTGCGGATCGTAGTGGCACCTATGTTGCGGATAAAAGTCGTGCCCAATGATGAAGCCTTCTCGAGCACCCGTAACGCAGCGCCGACTTTGCATACGGCAAGGGCCACAACCGCGTGGAACAATAGCTCATTTTCTGCCAATTCCAGCGCGTCTGGCTGCCACTCCCCGGACTCTCGAAGGCTGTATGTACTGTCGTTATGTATTTACTCTGTATTTACGTATTCTTAAACATTTCCATGCTTAAAAATACCATGTTAAAGCATTTCTTGCACGTAAAAACGTAAATATGATCTGTGTTCACGGCATAAATAACAAGTCTGCTGCCAGGATTAGGAATGCGAAAGATACAAATCTGCTACCAAAAACACTACTGTTGCAAGTATTTGCAAGGGCCCAAAATAGCCAAACCATGTTAGCCATATTAGCTGGGGCTGTTGGTGGATTTCAGCAATATAATGATTGCTTTCTAATCAATCATTTTTGGGAGACTAATTCTCATTATGAACACCTGTTACTGCCAGGCATAGATGTTTCCATAATGCGAATTAGTCGCCAAATGGGACAGAGCGGCGAGGGCAGCTGGGGGACCTGGTATGGGAAACACGGGTTAGGCATTAGGGAAAATATCGCACGAGGTGGCATGCAACAAACGGAAGATTTTGGGCACTTTTGAGCAGCTCAGACTCGAACAAATTGTCCGACCTGGTGCAGCTCAAAGCTTCCTGCCAACTATAACCTTATTAATGTCATGGTTTACGATACACTCTGGAAGGCACGCTAGAATTCTGAATGGGTACAATGGCTGGGCGCTTTGGGTGCCTCAAGAACTCTGGAGAAGAGTGCAGCCAAATATGTTTTCTGGCAGCCAGACCTCTTTGCAATAGTGCAAATTAATTTGGGCCCTCTGGTCCGAAGATTGCAATTGAACGTTGGCCAGAGGGCCAGTAGACTCTTGGCAATGCCTTCAAATCCGAAAGTCCTAGGAGAGTGGTTAAAACAAAGATTTGAAAGCCCTCAAATTTGAATGGCTTCTAAGAGCATCAAGGCCTGCATTCGAAGGCCGTGCTTTGGCAGCTGTTCATGTTCAGCTGGCAGCTTCCCTAATAGAGTGGTGCCGAAAGATCGCCAATTACCTAGTTTTGCACCCACCCGCCCGGCCCTCCGAGAGTAAGTACGACTTTTGTGGATAAATTGCTGGGGATTCAGTGCCTGCGTTGTACTGCGAAGCAAAAGGCAAGTTGATTTTGGCGGTAATGGGCTTTGGCCCTTGAAACATTGGTGAGAACGTTTACAACACACTTTGCCAATGTGTTTATCGGACGGGAAATGGATGGCATCGGGCAAGCGGAGCTTGTCCTCACGAGCCATGCCACATATACCACAAAACTCCGAAGCAAGGTCGCCAAAAACAGAATCTTGAGTCCAAAGCACGATAAAGAAAGAACAATGTGGTATGGCAAAAGCACACAGATATTTGCCTAACGACCAATCGTAGGAAGCGCAGCTGATTTACATGTGATGCAAACAGCCGAATGTGCTGTTAGCCCTGTGTTATCCGACTAATGAAATGAGAATTAAATCCGATCAAGGCGCGGCCGCCGACTGTGATTCCAGTCAGGAATTCGATGAGGAAGGCGTCTACCTGCACGTTGCCAATGGCCTCGCCAAGCCAAGGCCCCCAACGCGCCTTTGCACGGACGCTGTGGAATCTCCGGCACCGATCTCCACCGCCAACCACGGCCTTCGTCCGGCAGTGTCACACTCCTCCAGTGAGGTGCTCAGGCCCCTACAGGGGCCGCGCACCATGGCAATGTGAGACACAAGTCCAGTCCTCTGGCAGCAACGCGTTTGCCCAGCACTCGGCGGAGTGATCCACCCCTCACAAGAGCGGTCCCCATCGCTCCGCCCCTTCCTCATTTAAACGACTGGACCCCCGAAAGGCCAGCAACCCCAAGTCCCCGAGCAGCCGCCCGAAGGACCGCCGAAACCTTGCCGATCACCGGTACATGTACACCACCTGATTGCAGGCTCGGGCTCCGTGTTGCGCCCCGCTCCGGCTGTACATGCTGCAGTTAGAGCCCACGACCACGTACTCCTGCGGCTGGGCCGGCGGCTGCAAGCGCTCCTGCTGCTGCTGCTGCTGCTGCTGCAACAAGTGCTGATGCAAGTGCTGCTGGCCGGGGAGGAGCCGGCGAGCGTCGCCGCTGGGCGGGCGCGACGTCCGCCCCGGCGGATCCACGTCTATGTAGATGACGTCCCCGTCCCGATTGCCGACGTGTCGCCGAGGTGTGCACTTGCCGCCGCGCCCCACGCGCCTGTGCGCGGCCCCCCGACACGGCGGGATCGGCCCAAACGAGGGCGACTCCCACCCGGCGCCCCGGGTCTCCACCGCCGGAGCCTTCATCCCGAAAGCGGCGCAGCACCTTCCCCCTACGGCTCTCCCCGCATCCGGGGGCGCCGACGCAGCGACCGCTGGGACCGGCAGGGTCGGCGGCTGCTCGTAGACAGCGATGCCGTCCACCAGGCCCAGCGTGGGGTTGGGCAGCAGCCTCAGGTCCGCGCCGGTGCCCATCGCGGGCACACCCTCCACCTCGACTGCCCCACTGGCCACGGGCTGCGGGTGGGACTCGCTCCCGGCTCCAATGGCCGCCCGACGGGCCCCGGGGGATTGAATCCCGGGATGGTGGTGTTCGACAGACCGTCGGCCGTCCGCCTGGGCCCGACAGAAGGACGGCTCCCGGATGTCCGCGAGTGCCTCGTCAGCGCGCATGCCGTCACTGCCACCGATCGCCGCCGCGTTTCTGGGCCCCGCACCCCCGGCGTCCGAGCCCCTGGCACCCGCCACACTGGGCCCTCCATCGCGATCCGCAGGCACGTCGGGATCCCCTCCAGGCGCCTCCTTCTCCTTCCCAGATTCGGGATTCTCGACGGGCGCGGGTTGGCCCCCGGGACGCCGGCCGCCGCCCGAGGCCGCCGCCCGCAGCAGGCTGAGCGCCTTGGCGGCGTAGGTGTCGCTGGCCGAGCTTGTGCACCGCCCGTCGCCGTTGCCGCCGTCCCTCAGCCAGCGCGCCACGTCGGCCGCGGGCAGCCAGCACTGGCTGCCGTCGTCCTCGAAGAAGCGCAGAGTCACGGCGCCGCGTTTGCCGCGTTCGCGCCCCACCACCTTGGCCCTGTGAGACGCACACGGGGGGGGACAGTCATGATACGTCACGGCCCAGCGGCGTCTGGTCACTCGTCTGACGGGTTGGAGGGGACCCAGGGCTGACGGGCCAGAACACCTGCAGCTGCTACGAAGGCCGCCCAGGTGTGGTCGCGGTCGACGCCGCCTGCCCCAACCCGCCGCCGACTTCCGGGGAAGACTATTTTTGCCACCGGCGTGGAGGGAACGGTGGGGACGACCCACGTGACAGGCGGCGGGCGGGGGCGCCGCGCGGCGCCCGCACCTGTAGAACATGTCGGGCACCTCCACGCCGAAGTGGGAGGACGGCACGAAGACGGTCTTGCCGATGATGTCCGCCAGCAGGCCGGGATCGGATGGGGAGGCGGCCCCAGCGGACGGGCCGCCGGGGCCGGGCCTGCGCCTCTTCTGGGCCATGGCCTCGACAGCTTGCCGGCGCGGGCGAGCACCTGCACCTGCGTGAAACAGCCCCCCGGTCGTCAGCCCGGGGGAGCAACGGCCGCATGCATCGGCTGGCCCCTCCCCACACCTCCCATGACCCAAAACACAAACACACGCGTGCACAGGGCTCTCGACCCCTATTGACCGGGTCGGCGTCTCCGCGCCCCGAGCGGATCCTCGCCTTGCGATCGCGAGCCAGGCGCGGCTCCCGCAGTCGCCCCGCCGCCGTCGGGCACGACGAAACGCCAGAGCGCACGCGAATTCGGGCCGGGCATCCGGGGGCAGGAAACGGCGTCCGGGCGCGCTAGGGCGCCGGCCGGGGCAGGGCAGTCTCGCGCAGGGCTCCAGCGCGCGGGGAGAGGGCGGCGCCGATCGCCGTTCCCGCCCCCCGCTGGGCCAAAGGCCGGTATCTTTTCCAGGGGGGTCCCCGGCAAATCGGCCCTCTCCCGTCGGCCCCCGAAGCAGCGCAGCGCGGTCATACGAAACGGCACAGGCTCAGAATCACCGTCCCCGCGCTGCCTGCGCGCGGGCGGCCCCCCTTCCCCCCCTTCCCCGTGACGCGGCTTCCCGCCCAAAGCAGCCCCGCCGCAGCTGGCACCACCCGCCCACAATAACTCTTGACCGCCCAGCCCAGCGCCCGGCGCCTGGACCAGTCGCTCCACGCGATCCGGTTCCAGCCCGCAGCCCGACAACCCACCTGAGGCGAGCAGGTCTACACGCGACCCGCCCCTTTCGCCTTGCCGTTCGCCGGCGAGGCGTGGGGCGCAGAGTGGGCTCCCCGCGGTCGTTTTCGTTCCCCGCCAATGGCGCGGGCAGCCGGGGGCGTCAGCACACGCACCCCGACAGCCGGGCGCGCCCGCAGCGCCGGGGCGGCTTCCCCGGCCGGCTGGATTTGTTCCACGTCGACTGAACGCCCCCCGTACCGTGGCACGCCGGGAACGAGGGGGTTCCACGATCCGCCGGATGCGGGGGCCGTGGCCAGAACACTGGGCGCTGCGCGCCCGAGGTTTTCGATGTTTGACTCGGGGTCATTTCGCGCGGCAAATGGCCCCCCAACCCCCGATCATGGGGCTCACCAGTGCCGGGCCCGTCGAGAAAGGGCGGAATGTGGAATGAATGCGCCGCGCGGAATTGCCGCACTGCGGCGCTTCAAAGCAGAAATTTCACTACGGAGATAGCAACGCAGGGACACCTTTTGCTTGTCCCTGTTAGCCAACGCGCAAAGACACTTGTTTGACTGTGTTATCATCCACAGTCGTTTCTTGGAAGTCAGGAATCGGCGGATGCTGGATATCGCTGTGCAATACGTGGATTTCAAAGAGCATAACATGGACAGTGCTTTTCATGGTCAAAATGGTGAGCTAAAGGCCACTTTCTTGCCTTCAACTCGACTGGACTGAACTGAACCAAACCGACCTGAAGCCGCGACTGGTCATGGGGGCCGTCGCCCTGGCCCAGGCTTGTTCGTTCCGAACAGCCTTGCTTCTTTGAGGCGGCTGCGGTGAAATGGCCAAATGAGATGTCTTTCAAGTCGCTATCTGAGAGGCAGCACAAAAATGAAAGAGAGCTTGTTGGTTCTACTGAATGCATGTTTATTCCATTTACAGCTCCATTTTGTGTTCACGTTTTTATGCGTTAAAACGTCATTTTGCGAAAGGGGCTGTGTTTTACAGCTGTTTTGACACTTTTGTACGGTTGGTTGGGATACCCATGTTGCAGGATAAAAGTCGCGTATAATGATCAGTCCTTCACCATCTTCAGCACCCGCAACACAGTAAACACCAAGCCTGGTTGAGTCAACCAGGCTACATGATGAAGGTGCAAACAATGATCAGTTCTCCCCCCCTCCCATGGAGGACCCGCAACGAAGCGTCCACCTCGCCCTTGGCGAGAGCAACGATGTTGTCGAGAAAAAGACAAGTCGTTTTCTGTCCACTGCATTCTCGGCGTAGACACGCTGTGAAGACAAAATGTAAAGGCGTAAGAACCAACCACGCCGGAGAGTGTGCCAAGAATGTCGGGAGATTTGGTCGACGAGTAGAGTACAGTACTCCACATGTGGAGTGAGGGACGTGAGAGAATGTCGGCTGAATAGGGCATTCCTCGGTTCTCAGCAACCCTTCCCCCTGGAGTGATTGTGGTGTCCGGTCAGACCCCTTCATGAAGAGATCTGAAGGGAGGAGAGCCGATGGTTTTGATTGTTAATAACATGGCGACCCTGTGGCGTTCATCCCAGTAGTGAGCATTGTTGTTGCCTTTACCTCTGGAGGAGATCTCCGACTCTCTGAGTTTATCTGCGTAGATGGGTGGAAAGAATCTGACTTGGCTATTTCTGCCCTTGCTGGCTTGACATTGCGACGGTCAAATCGTGGGCAAAACTTTATGTACGATTGTACTGGTGTCGGACTGGGGAGTTTCTCTGCGTGTGGATGGATTGGCCAACGCATTTGAATGGTCCTTCCATGCCAAGTGGCATGGAAGATGCATCTATCGCTGCATGCCTGCAATGGCCTCAGTCCAGGCTGTCGGTGCTGGTCTGGATCGGCCCTTCATGAGTATTTCAAGTGCATGCGGTGCAGCACAACTTTGCATGCCATTCTTGTTGCCAGATCCAGCCCCTTGAGTGTTCTGCTCAGGGCACGGCCAGAGGGCAGCATCACACAACTACAGTTTGTACAAGATGGCTTTTTGTTCACTCAGTAAGGAAAAAGGAATTAAATTGTTGACCATCATCAACCTCCCAATCCGTCCTCCCAAATGCACAAAATACGTGAATCAGCCATTCCGCCACTTCGCCCACCCACTTCGCAATGGATGTTCCCAGTGGGGAATTCTTGTCGCTATACTTGTGCTACAACTCTCATATCGCCCACAATTGAGTCAGCACCTTCCCGCATAAATCCAAAAACAAGAGCCATTCCCTTAGTTGCCTTTTATCTTGGCATAAATCGTCCCATCGTCGGCGACTGCAACTTCGTACACTCCCAAGTCCACAGGGGCCGATTTGGACTGCAAACAAGAGCGCATGGTGATGTCAATTGCTTGCAGATAACACATTCGAGTGAGGGCACATGACCAAACGTTTTCCAACAGGCAATGTTGACGGAAGCGTGCATGTCAACATCTCAAACGTGCAAGCCGGTGCGTTTTTTGGTGCGCAAATGATTGAAAGGATTATCATCTAAATGCGCCAATCTTGCTTGAGCAGGAGATGGTAGGCTCAGCGAAAGCCAATGGAGAGGTTGCAACCAATTCGCTAGCATCATTTGATTGACTGGTTTGTTTGTTGACAGGGAGACCAATGGAGCGCTTGAATGCGATTTCCTGAAGTCCACCAATGACAATCTGTTGTATGCGCCATTGCAAAGAATGCACTGGAACGCATCCTGGATTAGAATCCACGGGGCCCACCATGAACCGACACCAACGCATTTGCCAACACGTCCCACATGCGAATCAAACCAACGCGTTTGCCTGAGACTGCATTCGTAGCGCACACATTTACTACATTGCATCAAAAATCAGGCCAGGCCACCACTTCTGAGTTTATCAATTGACTTCAATCTTCCCCATCAAACAGATAAGAACAGGAAATCCCAGGACGTTGAAGTTGCGTGGCTTGCACCCATCATTAGGGAATTCTCCGGATCTTACTGAGCCCACCGAGGACGGCGTTTCAGAGTGGAGTCCTTTCCTGCGGACCCCAAAGTGCCACAAGGGTAGTGATTTCAACGCAACCCAGGCTGAATTTGTCAGCAGCAGTCCTGAAGCCCCGACTCCACAAAATCGAGCAGCGTGTGGTTTGCTCGTCACCATCGTGCTGAGAATAGGCTTACAAAATACAGAACCAAAAGCTGGTGAACACAATGATAAACACGTTTCCTCTGGACAGTGCTCGAATTGACACAAGCGTCATCCAGGCACGCAGACCACGTCCAAGGGCTGTGTGGAGCTCCATAGAACCATTTGAGCTTACCTTAAGACTACCTAATAAGGATCTTACGGGGTTGTTTTGGGGGCACCATGCCAGCACCTGCAAACCAATGGAAAGGAAACTGCCTTGCTGTCAGTCAATGAACTACTGATACTAAGGGAATGCCACTGCTGCCTTTGCGATGGCAGTGAAGTCAGGACTTTATGATGGGGCAAAAACTTGGCAGATGCTATGAATTGACAATAGGTCAGTTCTCCTCATGAACACCTCGTTTGCATTGGGATGGCACAGATTACACCACATCCAGAAGATACTGTATTGCATGCAACAATGCAAAAATATGTCAAAGCATTTGGGTGCCAAGGTGCCAGTGCCACAACAGCCAATAGCCAACGAAACTGCCACAGAGTCTAACACAGTCCAGAACATACCCATAGCTCCTGTCTTGTGTGAGAAAAGGGGGGGTGTTAGCTGCATGCATGTAAGTGCCATCTTGACAGTCCAGAACATTCGACTGCTGACAACTGTCTGAATGTTGCACACCTTGCCGGTCGCCAGGTCGTACGTGGTGCCATCAAGTGGGCACTCAACAGCAGGGCCACCATCACCTACAACAGGCAAGTTGCGATGCATCATCGTAATGCTACTGCTCTCAAACTACCACTCTTCATTACCTTGCAGATAGGTGTTTGAGTATATTTCATCCTGTGGCATGTGCTCAACAGATTGCCAACCTCAGGTTCTGCAGCAAATTCGGAATTTAACCCATATGTGGGGCAAGCAGTGGCAAGGTGTGTGCACCATTTCTTGTGCAGCAGTATGCCAGCAGTCTCGTTAAAATCTCTCCGACAATATTGCAACGTAAGATTCGTGCCAGAGCAGGTTATTGTACAAAGGTGAAGCAGGTTTGTCACCAGTGATGAGCATACTAGTGCATGCGCAGCATGATAAAAGCAAACTGGGCACTGAGAGTTCTTCTCTTGTTTGATTCTGGATGCAGCTGGTGGTCATCGGTGGCCTTTTGAATCTTCGGTCTCCAGTTCAGCTGGCAGGATAGAATATCGTGCAAGGCAAATTTGAGAAGGTGGCACATAAGGGGAACTGATAGTATGCATGAGCCTCATCTCCGGCACTTGGAGGACTGTAACACATGCAAGTCCTTCCATTCACAGTCCTGGGACCCAAGCATGTCTGCATCTACACTGGTAGGGTCGTTGCACAGTGGGCCTTTTCCATGCTGGCATTGGTGGCAGCAACAAATCGATGCACCAGCAAAATGCTGTTGGCATGTATTCAATCACGTCTCAGTTGGGACTGCTCTCCTTCCCAGATGCAGCAATTAGAGCAAAATACCTTGTAACAGACAGCAAATTGCACGGTGGTTGAATTGTGTACTGCTTGGTAAGTTGAGAGTGCAGTGTACTCACACCGAAGGCATACTTGCTTGGCAGGTTTGTGCCAAATACCACACTATTCCTACCTTTAACTATCTTTGCATCTGACAAAGGAAACTTGAAAGCAGTTGAATTGGCGTCTGAGCAGTAGACAGTGCCATCAACAGTGTACAATACGAAAGCTACCCCTGAGTCAAGGATCACTGACTGGGTGTTCTTGCCCTGCCAACACGAAACACACTTCATCATCGTTCAAATTCAAGACAAGGTCCATGAAACGTCAGCCAGTTCTGCTGCATGGCCGTGTGTCCACCGAGCATCCATGAGATAGGCACCACATGCCAACAAAAATCAGACTGTTGCAATCATGGGTACTCATCTGCTAGCCCTTATTGCAGTTTGGCACACTGGGGGGTGAGTTTGCAAACTACACGTAAGGCACCTAACCCTTGTCTTTCCCCTCTTTTCTGTCAGTTTCTGCAAAGGTGTTGCAAACATCCCAACTTCCAACCACTCGTTGAATGATGTACAGGTGGCAGTAAGGCGGCTTTGCAAGAAACAACCGCAAGAAATGTTCATCGCACTCACAGGGTCACAGCGTTTGGATGCTAACATCTAGTTTGCTTGAGAAAAATCGTCAGAAAATGCTGATCACACTGCCAACAGCATCAAGGCAATGCATACTGACTGCTTGTGCTTAGGTCGTGGTTTCTTGTAACACTGCTGAGTACACATGTGCCATACGACTTGGCTGCTGTGTTGCTCCATTCAGAACCGATTTTAGGTGAATTTAAGCAAGTGCGCCAAACTATGTTGCTCCCATCACCAATGCTTGCAGTCACTATACCACCTGGCAACTGGGGTGTGGTTTCATATGCAGGAGGCATTACATTGGAGAAGTATTACCTTGAAACCATCCACAGTTCCCATTTCCTCCCATCCTTTGTCAGGATCTACCTTCATAGCTGGCGTCTGCTTGAAACGAAGAGGTACCTGACACACATTTCCAGAAGCCCGTCACAAAGCATTGGAACCATGACAACCAAGCGCCCAGTCACTGGACCCCATTGTTATCGGAAATTTGGAATATGCAATGTGCAGGCACATTTCCACCAAATGAACAGGATGCAATCGTACCTGAATTGTGGAAACATGCATACCTTGGTAAGCCCAGCTAGAAAACAACAACATTGCCCTTCAAGCTGCTAGCCAATCCACACATAACGCCCAAAGGCTGTTTGAACAGCACCCATATGTCCTTGAGTTGGGAATTGCAGTTCACGGCGATACATGGAGTCCACTTTCTGGTGTGCAACAATTTTCCCAGACTGTGCTGGGCACACAGGGGACCTGGGTTAACTGTCATAAAAGTATCATAAAAGTCACTGAAAGCTGTCAGATATCAACCCAGGAGCCACAAAAGCGGCGCCAGCGAACAAGCCAACAGCAGTTTCCAGCCAACAGCTGATGGTACCAATCCTAAATTCAACAATCAGGCAAGCAAGCCACACGATTTTCAGAATCTCATTGGCACCATCCTGCTCCCGACAGTGCCCTTCAATCTTGTCGATATCTTTCCAGATATACCAACCGGAAGCGGGCACCGCACTCACAAGCTGCAACCCGGCTGCAGTCCAATTGTCATTTTGATGGCCCAGAGGCACGACTATACGACCATGCAGGGAACAAAAAGCGAAGCTCCAGTCATGTGTGGATATCCGTTGCCACGATTCGGGGCTATCGCCGCCCTTTCTTCTATTGACATTCCGTGCAATTTGATCAGCCCCTTCCCCTTTGTTTGGTCCACCCACCCGTCGGAAACGCCCTGCAGCCCCGTCCCTAAGCATTTTCATGCGCCCAAGGCGCGCGATCCCCGGATGCCGCAATCCGCCCCCGCCCCCAGAACACACCTTGCCCTGCTTCTTCCCCTTCTTCCCGCCGGGCGCCCCGAAGCCCTTGCTCGCCACAGGCGGCAGGGCGCGGGCCCGGCTCCGGTGCGGGGCTCCCAGCTCCCAGCGGTGGGACGCGGTGCCGACCAGGGCACGAGCTTCCCGGGCCGCGCTGCCGGCAACATCTGCGAGGCAACCACGGATGACGCAATGCAACGGCCCCTTCGCTGCCGCGATCCCTGGAATGCGCTCGACCGAATTCGCGACCACTTGGCGACAGTGGGGCGCCGGGGTTCGCCTGTGCCCAAGGGAACCTACCGGGGTGATGGCAACACGCCCTCCCGGCGCGGCAGTCGATTGCCGCCATCTCCCCGGGGTGGTTTTTTCCCGTGAAGCGCAGCCCAGCCACGCGGGCCGCAACGAAACGCGGCAAGAAAACCTTCGTTGGCTTGTGATGTCGTGCGGTGTACGGCACATGTCACGAGCCGCCCCGCGTACATTAGGCACCGGCGCGGCGTGCGCCCTTGGCGAGATGCGATGGTGGGCACTGGTGCGGCTGGCTGGCGGTTGAGCGCCCGGCGGCCGTCGGGCTGCCGCCCGCACGCGTGTGCGAGGCGAGGGGTCTGCGCAGGGCCCACGAGGATCCGAGCGACCTCCGGTCGCCGGCATTTTCTGGAGGTGCGGGAAGCGCGGGAGCCCGTACCGCTTTTGTGTTGCGGGCCAATGGCCGGGGATTGCCAATTCGTCTGTTTGGGATCCCAGTGCCTTGTTGATCGGCATAGATTACGTGGCACCACAGTCAGAAGCGCCACCGACCAGTTGACTTGCTTGCCCGCGCCTGTGCATGCCCGCCCTCTGGCGGGAGCGTGGTGCAAAAGATGTTGCGCCCCAGTTCGAAGAGACGAATGACTGCGTCGCTGGTGACGTCAAGGTGCCCTGGTCAGGGTCGCCACGTGGCGGTCAGATCGCTGCCAAGAGGCGCTAGAAGGGGGCTGATTTTGAGGACGTTGGCCGCGGAGGATGACGACGGGAGGGAGATCGTTGAAGGCTATGACATAAAGAAAGGGGGCCTACTGGAAAGCGAGTTGTTCGCCACCATCCTGAAGGTGGGTACTGGCACCTGACAGCAAACCCATAACGATCCTTGTCAATCTTTTGCCACCATTTGTTTTCGGAAATGACGGACAACAGTCCTTTCACCTCCAAGGGGACGGAGGAGAGATTACCATTCACAATGTTTGTTGCAGCATGTTTCTGGGTTTCCCCTTAATCGAGATAGGCGCTCTGGTTGGTGGCTTGAGTTGAAAAATCGATATCCTGCAAGTTAAAGGGCCCGGAGTGTGGGTAATGCATGGAAGGCTGGCACCAAGGAGAGGTGTTGCAGGACTTATCTCTGACGACACTGACCTTTGTCAGCTGATTGGTGGAAGTTTGCGCGAGAGTGCCAGTGCATGAAAAGCACATACTGCCTCCATTGCTTGCATCGAAATTAGGCAATCATTGCGGCAACCGCACTAAGCTGTCAACCTTGTTCTTTCTGGCAATCGTGTTTCGCCACATTCATCAAGTCTGAACAGTACGAAATCTGTCTGGTGTGACTTGAATGTGAACATATGAGAAAACAGGGCCCTTGCAACTGTTAGATGTGGGCAGATGCCTTCCACAGCAATAAACGTTCTGAGACTCTGCGTGGTTCCTCTCAGATCTAGGTGTGGAACTAACCTGGGGTTTTAGCCCCTGTTTGTGCACAACTGCTGTTCTGCTGACTGTGATCTGAGAAGTATCCCAAATGTCCAAAAGTCAAATGGATGGACCATTTCGAAACAAGCGAGCAAGTCAACAGACAAAACTCAGCAGAGCTGGCATCCACACTCCATCGCACCATAGTTGCTGTTGATGATCTGCAATACATTGGGTACTGGTTAAAGGCCACCTGGCATACATGCCCTATCTTTCAACTTCTCTGCATGCTGCGTATCCCAATTCACTCACTTCAGCAACAACTGCCTGACAACAGTGCCGCTTTGCCAGAATGTCGCTGCAGTCGTATACCAGCAGCCATTTGTTCTCCATTAGGGCTGGGTTGTAACAGAAGGGGTGAAGAGGAGTCCACAGGTCTCTGTACCCCAGCGGGGGCCTTCCTCCACTGCCAGTCTCGCTGACTGATTCATGGGCTGCTGTAGGTGGGTTTCGTTGCATTGTGCATCACTGTCTTCATCGTCCTTTTCAATCTGGCACAGCCCGTCGTCGACACTGCCGTCACGGCCTTCCCTAGAGCACCCACATAGTGGCCAGAACTGGGCTGCCAGTTAACCAACAAGGAAAGCTCCACAGCAGCCTCCCTGCTGCCAGAGTGCGTTGGAAAAATTTTGAAAATGACTGCTACCAGAGGTGCTTGTCTCAAGGCGGCCTCAGGGTGTTCATAGGATGGAAGCGAATCCATGCCAGGGAAGACATTCCTGTTGGGTGTGGCCGATAATTGCCTGCACAGGATGCATGTTGTTGATGCAAGCTTGCAGTTTTTGTTGACAGAATGCTTTTGAGGAGAATTTCTGCAGTTTAGTGTGGTCTTTGTCACAGTGTGCGAGTTGGTTACGCCCCCAGCTCCCAGTGTTGTGGGAACGTGAAAAAAACATGCTGTTTCTGTACCTTGTGTGTGCATTGGGGGAATGGGAGCCAGTGAGGCTAGTGGAAGAGTATGGGTACCTTTCTGATGGCACAAAGAAAAGCAAATACACCTGTGCTGCTCATGCAGCATGCAGGGGGCAGCACTGCCAACATCTCTAATCAGCATCGAACATCTTGTTCCTGACTTCCTCCCCTGGTTCAAGATACCCAGTACAGCCATGAACATCCTGGATAAAGGAACAAGAACAGCCAATTCTGAAGTATCAATATGTGGATGAATGCCTGCCATAGCACATCAGATGCCTGGTGGTCTGCTTTCTCTGTGCAACAAGTGCCATCCAACAAGTCAAGAGACAGTCAAGGAGCTGCTGCTTGTTGCCTTTACCATACCTTTTGCACAATTCAAAATTGTCAGCTGCCACCTGGAGATTCTGATCTGGTCCAACCACTTTTGCAGGCATTAGCGTCGGAAACTGCAACTCAGCAATCAAAACACATGCTACACGAAGTGTTGACTGTGCCTTTGACATCGCTGTCGAGAGGCAGGCACAACTTGCCTGTGGCAAGGCCTGCGGCTTTCGTAGCCCAATGCACAGTCCCATTCCTTGAAATCCTCAAAGCCAATCCCAGTGCTCCATCCCAATCGACAAACTCATGAGCCATTTTTCACCAACTACCCTGTGAAATCAACAACAAATCCCAGGTTTGAACCACGGCAACTGGCGCCATCCGATCGCTCACTCCCCTCCCTGATCAAACCAGGCCGGCCGCCAGCCGCTGATCACGATCGACCCCACCCCCTTCCCACCCATCGCCAACGCCGCCCCCTGCTTCTGCAGCGCCATCGCGGTATCCATGCTTGTCTCTTTCAGGTGGTGCTTCTTGAGCCTCCTGGCGGCCTCCAGCTTCTTGATCTGGTACCGCGGGATCGGGTCCCCCCTCTTGACCCTCTCCGCCTCCTTCTTCAGGTCCTCCATCAGGTCGCGCAGCACGCCCGCCGAGATCTTGGTCATGTACCCGCTCAGCGCCCGCGGCACCGCGTATTTGGGCTTCACCGACTGCTCCAGGGTCACCAGGGTGGCGTCGGTCTCCCGCGCCAGCGACGGAAGGCCCGAGAAAATGGACCCCAGCCTGGACAGCGCGGTTGGCTCCCTGCCCAGCGAGTCCAACGTCCTTTGGCAGAATGGCCGCACCACCCAGTTGCCCTCAAACTTCTCCATGAAGCCAGGCTGCGCCAGCCTGAAGTGCACGATGCCCTTGTGCCTGTGCTGGAACACGAACAGCCGGGTGTAGAACACGCCAGACAGGAAGAGGAACCGCCAGCCCGCGGCCTGCTCCACCTCCACCTTCTGGTACCCCCAGCGGTCCTCCAGCACGCGGCGGTACGTGGTCCCCTTCACGCCGCGAAAGTACCGCGCGTTGTCCTTGTCCACCAGGATGTCGAACACCATGTGCGGCGGCAGGTCCACCTTGGCGTGCATCTTCACGCGCTGCGCGAAGCCCTCGGGCTGCGTGACCTGAATCTTGCAGTCCCTGGACGACCAGTTGTCCACGGTGGGCTGGGGAGCCGCGTCCTGATCAAGCCCATCGTCCGCATCCGCCGATTTGCCCCCGCGCCCAAAGGGCCACACCATCCTGTCTGAGGCCGGATTCGGCGATGCGAGTGGGGGTGAGTGTGACCGGGATGACCCGGCCTGGTCGTCAGGCCGCCGGTGGCGGTGGAAGGGCCGACGGCGCGGTGCGAGGCTCGGCGCGGCAGCGCGGGGGCAGGGCCGGGTGGCTGCAGGGGGCGGGGATGTGAGGATTGCGGGCGGTGTTTATGGCTGGTACCCCGCGGTCCGTGGCCGCCCGTGGCTTGTTCGACAATGGGGACTCGCTCAGAAATGTGAGGGGCGCGGGTGGAGTGTGGGGCGTTCCTTCGCTTCTGCCTTACCGGTCTCCTGAGCCCACCCCGTCATGTACCCCCATGACAATAATTACAAACACCGTTAACTTTCACATTCCCGAGGTTCCCGTCCTTTAAACTTGCCCATTCGCTTCGCTAATACTTCAACGCCACTTCAGTGAGTGACTCCCCATGAGTCAACTCCCTCTCCCGCACTTCACTCCCTCAACTCCCTCTCCATCCCACAACTAACCCGAAGCGAAACAAGATAAGGAGGGGGACCGAGGGGCTGCCTAAATAGCCGCCCTCCGCCGCCCCGCCAAAGCCCGCCAAACTCGAGGGCGCCCTCGCGGGCGGCACCTCGGAATACCGTACTTTGACTGACCCACGGTACTAGGGGTGGCCAGAAATCCCAAGGGCCGGGGTTGAGTAAACCCTAGGTTCAAACTGCACCGTTTGAATCGCCGGTGCAGCCCACCCATCGTCGCCCTTGGCAGAAACCCATTAACAGGATAGTTAACTTCATTTCTGCCTTACCGGTCTCCTGAGCCCACCCCGTCATGTACCCCCATGACAATAATTACAAACACCGTTAACTTTCACATTCCCGAGGTTCCCGTCCTTTAAACTTGCCCAGGCACTCTACGGGAACTCGAGGCCCCTCCGGGGCAGAAGATGTGCCCGAACTGCTCATGCAGGTCGCGGGCGGTGATGGTCATCCAACCGAACAACCGAAAATCCCACTCAGTGGGTAAACGAAAAATATCGATGTACGACCACAGTGCGTCTGACTTCCACGCACCCCAATCCCGAATACGCCGCTCCGCGACCTCCAAGGCGAAGCAACTGGACGCGCCCCCACCGCGCAGGCCATGATGCGTGAACGGCTCTTGGGCGAGGGCCGGAAAGTGCGCGAGGAGGGACGAGAACCAGGAGGCCACGGTCTTGGATGAAGGGGTGGCGTCGCCGGGAAGGCGGCAGAAATGGCGCCGCGCAGTTGATCCGTCGCCAAAGGCAGATCAGCGAATCGTTAGCCCACCGCAAAGAAGTCGACGACTTCGGTGCTCCGCGAAGTCAGATGATACGGCCGTCGCCTCCCCCGGCGCAGCCTGTCTTTATGCCGCGAAGATCACCACCGCCGAGGCGCACGCCGCTCATCGTATCGTAATGACCCGACCGGGCCCCGGGATTGGAAGTTATGTCGAAAGGGCCGCTACGCCTCAAGGGTGGGCCCGTCCTCGGTGGTGAGGCCAACCTCCAGGATGCGCAGCATCAAGGAAATGGGGACCGGCCTCCGATGCTGCACCGGGGCCGGCGCCGCCCGTCGCCAAGCGCGGGTGAGGATGCGGGTGACCGAGTCGAAGGCCGAGAAACCCAAATGGCCCGCGACGTGATGCATCATCGAAATTGCGGCCAGGTACTGGGGCAACGACCGCACGCCCACCTTGCCCTCCTCCCGAAGGAAACGGATGTAGCGGTAGATCGAGGCCCGCCGGGCGGGGAGGGCGGCGAGGCCGTGCTCCTCGCAGAACCGCTGGAAGCGCGAGAACTTGGCCTGGAGCGTCCGTCGAGTGGCCTCCGTGTAGGACTGTAAAAATTGGCGCTCCATCCAGCAGCGATCGTCGCGGAGTAGGCCATCCAAATCCGTGCCGTACAGCGGGTCATCCTCCGCCAGCGGCTCCAAAGGAACGTCGTCCGCCGGCAGGTCGGCCGGCGGGGCTTCCGACTGAATCACAGCTTCCTCCGATTCGGTCTCAGATGGCGCGGCGTCCTCTTGCGCGGGCACACATGGAACGCCCGGAGATTCCACCGCGGGGGGGGAAGGGACGCCGGAAGGCTCGGGTCGCCGGGGAGAAACAGGGCGGCCTGGCGGGGAATGAACATCTCCGCCCGGGCGATCGCTCGGAGCGGGCGAAACCACACCGCGCTCGGCCAGTCCGGCGCCAGCACCACCGCCTCCAGCTCCGGCCGTAAGGCGAGGAAGGACACGAGCCTCGCGAGGAGGCTCCACGGGGGATTGCACCAGGACCTGGTGCCGCTCCAGTCCTGCTGGAAAGCATCCACTCCTGCCGTACCGACGTCCCAGTACTGACTGTTGAACTGGGCGCAGAGGGCATTCCGGGCAGACGCGAATCGGTCCACAGAACAGGCCCCGAAGCTGCGGGCGACCTCCTGGAATATGCGCGGATTCAGGCGGTAGTCCTCCGAGGTCCGTATACGGGAAAGCCGGTCCGGCAGTACATTCTCTGCCGAGGGAATGTACTCCGGCTCCAGGAGAATCCGGCGCGTAGTACACACCGCCTTCAACTGACGTAAGGGCCTCAAGAGACTGGTGGCCCTCGTAGTCATGGAAAGGAGACAGTGCAGAACCACCTGGTTGTCCACCAACAAACGAACCCGCCGGGAAGTCGTCCCGGAATACCGGTGAGGAAAGAAACTGAGCAGGGCCAAGTGTACGGCCTGCATTTCACGAACATTAATATGAATAAGCTCCCGATCAAAAAATCCCCTTGCAAGCATGGGCCCCGCCTGGCCCAAAGACTGAAACGTCGCCCCCCAACCCGTAAGACTTGCATCCGTGGCAAGTGTGCCCAGAAAGGGCAGCGAACCCGGGTGAAGAGCCCGGCCGGCAAGGCGCGAAATGTTTGTCCATGCCAAGAGGTCCAGGCGGGCTTGGGGGGTCAAACGAAGGCGATCCCGCCACGAGCGTTTCCCTCGTAATAACTCATACAGACTCATCAAGAAAAAGCGGGCCAGCGGAAAGGCCAAATACAACGAAATGGCAGACCCACAGAATTGAGCCAAATGTCGCGCCACTACCCCGCCCGAGTGAAGGAGGGCGCGAGCCCGGGAAGCAATCGCAGCGGCCTTGTTCGGAGGCACCAGAAATTGGCACCGGGTAGTGTCAATGATCACACCCAAATGGGTCTTCCGTTGCACCGGATCCCACTGACATTTGGAATGCTTGAACTCAATGCCAAGAGCCTGAAAAACTCGCCGCACTAAATGGGACCATTCCCGCAAATGAACCGGATCAGACATGGCCACAATAAAATCATCCAAATATGCCAAAATCAACGCGGGCACCTCCCGCGAGTACTTGAGGTAGTACTGGAGAATGGAGTCATTACCCGCTAAGCAACCAAATCAAAAACGAGTTCCAGCCCGTGCACATGCCGCAGGGGTCCTTAAGAAACGGACCACAACGAGCATGACATGAGTGAAATAAAAGGGGGCCAAGGAGAGGCCAAACGGCAGCGCCCGACAGGCGAAAACTTCACCACCCATCCGAAAGAGCAAGAAATGCTCCTGATCGGCGCGCATCCGAACATGATGGTAGGCATTCTTGACGTCAAAGCCCACCAGAAAGTCATGCTTTTTCAAAAGAAAACCGAAATCCTTCAAGCGCTCATAACGGAGACCGACCTTCTTGAGGTGGCGATTGATCCGCCGAAGGTCGATGACCAAACGGTATTTGGTCTGCCCGTTCTCCGCCGGCTTGGCCACCAAAAAGGCGCGTGAAATCCGGGCGTTGGAAGAAGGCTCCGTCCGGATGATCGCCCCCGTTCGAAGGTACTCGTCGCGCAGCTCCCGCCAAGCTTGCCATTCCGTCGGGGTCCTGAGCGGGTACTCGCCTTGATCGAAAGGGGGTGGAGGGCCCCCCGGGCCCCATTGGAGCGGCGCCCCCGTATGGATCCATTGAAGCACCCGGGAGGGGGCGCCGATGCGTCGCCAGGCTGCAAGACGGCCCTGGAGGCGGGCGTAGGGCGGGGCCTCTAGGCGGTCGGCTTGGGAGGCGCCGATGGGGCGCCGGACATCTTGGGCTTGGGGCGCTGATGCTTGGCGCCGGAGGAAGGACCGCCGGGGGGCGAGGCCGCGGAAGGTTGGCGATTGAGCTACGCTTGATGTTGAGCCGCCGCGGACTTCGTCGCCAACTTGAGCTGTTGATTGAGGACCTCCTTGCGGATGTGCTCGAGGGGCTCGTCGATCAAGGGGTCCCAGAACCGGCGATGTACCGCGCCCAAGCGCACGTTGGTCTGGAGCGCTTTCCATAGCCCGTCGAGAGAGGTTCCCTTCTGCTCGCCGTGGACCTGTTGAAGACGGATCAGGCTCTGAAGGCGCGACGTGATGGTCACTTGGGCGTGGACGTATGGCAGGAGTGCCTCCCGGAATTGCAGCGGGAAGGCTGGGTGCGCCACGAAGTCGATCAGCGCGGCAGTGAGGTCGAACTGCCACGCGACGTAGGGGGCCCAGTTCTGGTACTCCTGGAAGTAACCGGAGTTGGCGCCCAGGGCCTGCGCGAGCTGCCTGCCTTCGGAGGTGCGGCGGACGTCGAACCACTCGGGGAAGCGGACTCCCGGAGGTCGGACCACCGGGTTGGTCACCGCTTGCGGTAGGAGCCGGGGGTCAGACAGCCAGACTTCGTCAAGGGAAGCCGTAGGCGGACCGTCGTTGAACCGAACCGCTTGGTCGTGCAGCCACTGCTCGGCCGGAGAACGGTTCATAGAAAGGACTCGGCCGTAGCCGGAGGGACAAGGCACTCGGTGCCTATGGGTTGTGCCAACGCAGTGGCGCGAAGCGAAACAAGATGAGGAGGGGGACCGAGGGGCTGCCTAAATAGCCGCCCTCCGCCGCCCCGCCAAAGCCCGCCAAACTCGAGGGCGCCCTCGCGGGCGGCACCTCGGAATACCGTACTTTGACTGACCCACGGTACTAGGGGTGGCCAGAAATCCCAAGGGCCGGGGTTGAGTAAACCCCAGGTTCAAACTGCACCGTTTGAATCGCCGGTGCAGCCCAGTTGCCCTCAAACTTCTCCATGAAGCCAGGCTGCGCCAGCCTGAAGTGCACGATGCCCTTGTGCCTGTGCTGGAACACGAACAGCCGGGTGTAGAACACGCCAGACAGGAAGAGGAACCGCCAGCCCGCGGCCTGCTCCACCTCCACCTTCTGGTACCCCCAGCGGTCCTCCAGCACGCGGCGGTACGTGGTCCCCTTCACGCCGCGAAAGTACCGCGCGTTGTCCTTGTCCACCAGGATGTCGAACACCATGTGCGGCGGCAGGTCCACCTTGGCGTGCATCTTCACGCGCTGCGCGAAGCCCTCGGGCTGCGTGACCTGAATCTTGCAGTCCCTGGACGACCAGTTGTCCACGGTGGGCTGGGGAGCCGCGTCCTGATCAAGCCCATCGTCCGCATCCGCCGATTTGCCCCCGCGCCCAAAGGGCCACACCATCCTGTCTGAGGCCGGATTCGGCGATGCGAGTGGGGGTGAGTGTGACCGGGATGACCCGGCCTGGTCGTCAGGCCGCCGGTGGCGGTGGAAGGGCCGACGGCGCGGTGCGAGGCTCGGCGCGGCAGCGCGGGGGCAGGGCCGGGTGGCTGCAGGGGGCGGGGATGTGAGGATTGCGGGCGGTGTTTATGGCTGGTACCCCGCGGTCCGTGGCCGCCCGTGGCTTGTTCGACAATGGGGACTCGCTCAGAAATGTGAGGGGCGCGGGTGGAGTGTGGGGCGTTCCTTCGCGACAGGCATCGAAATGGAAGGGGGACTTGGTGGAGGAAAATGATGAACAGAACGGAACGGGAGAGAAGAAAAGATGAGGAAAAACGGGTCATACTGTAGGCGGAAACACAGGGTGACAATTCTTTCTATATTGCGAAAGATGATGGAGTGTCTCCGATGAAAACACAGCACTATGTGCAAGGCAATTAACACAATAAACATGCACTCGGGGGACTCACGGGGATTCGCTGGCCTCCTTTTGCAGCCTATGTCCCATGCTTTACTTTCCCTCTTTTCATACTTTCTTTTCGTTTTTTCTTACTATTGATGGCAAGCACCACATCCATGGGTACTGGTTTGGCCTGTCTATACAACACAGCAGCAGAATTTGACGGAGCCATCTCAGTCACCCAGCACCAGTAGTCTGAGCACATTCTTGGTTGGTCAATGTGTCGATGCCGTAGTCACTGCATCATGTCTTGCGGCTGAAGTTGTGCGGTGCTTGAGAAGTGTACCCGTTTGAATTTACCCGATCTCTGCATCTTAGTGCACGGTCTGCGGGGATCCCAAGACATTCACCTTGCTTGAAATTTAGCGAACACGTCAGCATGTGATCTGCGCTTTCTGCAGAGTTGGGAATCATGCGCAGCAATAAATGGCGTCGATATGGCATGTGCCTCGCCAAGTTCAGGTGTCTCTTCTGCAGACATGGCACTTGTTCGCGCTTGACGTGATCCTCTTCAACCTCCACTCACATACAAGCCAAGACACATCCTGATGCCAAGGGCCATCTGTTCCAAAACAAAATCCATGGCCGTCATTTAATCTGCCCCACGTGGCTGAAAACAATCTACTAGAGCTCAACGCGTTATACTTCAGTTGATCCAAATTCAATGTAAAAGGGATGGGCGAGTGGAAACGAAGCAAGACACGCAGCAGTCACTGAGCCTCCTCAAGCAAAGAGGATCACCGCCGAGCTGTGAATTCCCAGCCAAGGCTACCCGTTTGGACCACGCCTCAGTTCTCCATGAAAGTGTGCCAAGAATGCACATATTCCTCAACGCTTGTTCAAACGCAATTTCCACAGTGACGTGGCACAACCGCCAAGCGGCGGGCTGCCAGGAATAGATGGATTCTGCCACCGATGCCCAAGAAGATGCCTGCGGCATCCTCAGGAGCCACCCGAGCAGATAAAATGAACGGATCCGTGGCATGAAAACCTTCTTGGGTGCACGCTTGGCCGTCATCGCCCACAAAAGTGCAAGGGCACCGCTTTGTCTTGTCGGATGCAATCTTAAAGGATCAGTTACGGCCATGCTTGGTCTTTATGGTGTGAGCAATGGATATTTACGCGTATTTGCGTGTATTAACCATAATTACGTTTTTTGCGCGTTGACATGTATAAACCTACGCAAATTTTGACCCGGTGCACATAAAGACAGTACATATGGACCAAGGGAGTCCGGGAAATGGCAGCCACCCGCTCTGGAGTGGACAAAAAACGACCATTTGCTCGACAACGTCGTTGCCCTTGCCGACGGCGAGGTGGGCGCTGTGTTGCTGGTGCTCCAGGGGGCCGAGGAATGATCATTGTATGCGACTTCATCACGTAACCTGGGTGTGTCAACGAGCCGTAGAACTACGTAAATATAGCCCTTTTGCCAACTTACATTTATTGCGTAAAAGCGTAAAACGCAAAAACGTAAAATGTAGACATAAACGTAAGCGCAAACGTAGACACAAAAACCAGGCACAATTACGGCCAGGACGTAACCGCGTCTCCCAAACTGACTGGGGATGTCAGAAACTCACTGACAGCGTTATTCTCATTTTCACGTCGAGTCACTCTGCAGGCTCATCTTGTCAGTGCACACAGACACATGTGTAGCATTGGCCCTATCCCATGTGCAGAAATGTGCTTTTCTGCAAGTTACCAATGCCTGTCTGTCTGTTTTTTTGAAAACAATTGGGGCAGGTGTTCATTGTTAGCGACCGAAGCGAGCGGAGCTTTATTAGGTACTGCGCTGGCAGTGCGCGAGGCTTGTGTGTTCAGGCCCATTGCCTCCCTCAAAGGCGCTCGCACATACCGGATTTTCCGGTCAGTACGCGGCTGCTTGCTGGCGGGTGCAACAGCACTGGCGCAGCTGTTGGCGGCGCGTCCCAGGGGAGGGGGGCGTTGCGTGGGTGCCATGTGGTGCCATGATCGCCGTGGAGCGACAGGGATGAGTAATGCAGGTGGCCTTTCCCATAGACATTGGAGAAATTGGCAGTCGCACTGCGCCACCACCACAGGAAACAGTATGGGAGCCTCCCAGATCGGCACCCGTTTGTCCATCGACCACCACGAGCCTACAATAACCCAACGGGTCGCTCCCGTCGGCGGGCCCGTCCCCACGTGTACTTCGATGTCTCAGCAGCGTATGTCGACGCCAGTACTTTAGCCCCTCTCGGAATTAGTGTGCGCCGTGACGGGGTTGGGCGCCTTCTCCGTCCCTGCAGGTTCTACGCCGAAATACGTTGCACCGGGGTCCCCGAAGGCCAAGCGGGGATTGAGATCTGCACTGACGGCGCATTGTATCATTTCACTCCGTGAGTGAGAACAGCAACACGGCATGCGCTCCCCCTTTCAGCAACGTGATCCCGGTTTCGAGGAATCCCGTCCCGGGTTTTCAGAGGTCCAGGCACAGCCCTGTTGGGCCGCTCCAGCAGCGGTCGTGCTCTCCTCCCTTTGATGCCGCACAAATGGGCGCCAGATTGACCGAATGGGGCCTGATGTCCGACTGGCTCCCTGCGCGCCCCCCAGCAGCCCTCCTAGGTTAGTGGGCTACCCACCCTCGGATTGAGCGTCGGCAGTACAGGCTGCGGCCATTCCTGGATCGGAAGCATCTGGGGGCCACATGACTACGGGGGGGCAAGGTCGACGGGGGCGGTTGGGGGGCGCAGGGGACAGGTCCGTGCTGCTCCTCGCGGCCCGAGGGGGGCGGCGGCAGGGAGGAAGGCTTGGGCCGGGCCCGGATGACAGGCCTTACGCGCGCGGGAAGGTAGGGCGGGTACCCGGATCCCGGAGCGCATCCTGCCCACTGCGCACCGAGCAGCCATCCGCGGCGCCAGCGATTCAAGCGCCGCGGCCCCGCCAGGGCTCTGAGCTTCCGGAGCGTGGCCCACCGGGGCATGCGCGGATGGGCACGGGGCCTGATCGCCTCCACGTCGCCGCGGGCGGCCGCCCGGAGGCGGCGTGCGGCGGCCGAGGGGCCTGCGCCCGGCGCACTGGAAACATTGGACGTCCGACGGGCCCCATTGTCGCGGCTCTCGAGGGCGGGGCGCGGCGGGTTGATCGTGGACGGGGCGGTGGCGCGGCTGGGGAGCGCCGAGCCGGGGTGGCGTAGTGGGGTGTTCAGCTCGAGCCGAGCGGGGCGCGCGAGCTGTCCGTTGTTGAGGCTGTGTGCAACTTGGCCGGCGCGTGGTCATTTTTTGCATGGAACGGGCCCCTGGGCGATCTCCGCCGGGCGCGATTCTCCGCGAAGGGTGCGTTGGGGGGCCGATTTCCGAGGGGCGGCGGCGGGTGGTGCTGGGACGCCGCGCGGCGTGGTTTGGCGGATGAATGCCGCCAAATGCCGCTTTGCTGCGAAAAGTGGGGATGCGGAGACGGGCGCGGGGGCGGGGCGGCTGTCCTCGCCTCTTTCCTCCGCAATTCTGCCTGTACGATGCGCGCTGCAGGCGAGGCCTCACGGCCAATGTGGCCTGTGGTTTGCCTGGCGAGACTGGCAGACCCAGCGATCTGCGCTGCAGAAGCACCGTCCAAGGCAGTTGCTTTTTAGGGCCCCGGACAAGTGCCGGGATGCTGAATGGTGTGCACGGTCCCTTTGGCCGTCTGGGGAATCAGCTCGCGGCTTGTTGTTTCACGGGGTTTTCCCGGCATCTGTTCGCCATCTCTCGTGTGGTCATCTGGCTGAGGTACTGTGGTTGCGGGGGGCGTTGCGGCTGACCGAGGGGGAAGTGCCTAGCCCCCGAAATCTGTCCCGAACCCTTTGAGAGTGTCGCCTTCGGATCTTGGCGCTTGAACGTATCCGCATTTTAGGGCAGTGCCCTTGGGGCAAGTGAATCTTGGGATCGCGTGGGGTGTGCACAGCACCTGATCACGATGTCGCTCAAACCAAGCGTCATACCACCCTGTCATTGAGATGGTCCCCGATCATTGCCCGCACATGGACGGGGGCATTTTGGTCTGTGCTTCGTTGGCCAGAGTAAGCCTGTTGCCTGTGGTTGTCGGATGCATGTGGAAAGGCTTAATGCCTGTCATTTAACTCGCCACTCACTGGCCACGCTCTGGCAGACCTCCATTGGCACTTCATGGGAACAGTACGATTGTGAGTTGTTCTGATAGGATGCCACACACAAGTGCAGTTGTTGCCATGGGTGATGTCAGGTCCATGTCGTGACATTGATGGTTTCAGTGTGTCAAGTTCGCAGTGCGCTTGACTGAAACTTGACGACCAGCTACAGATATTGTTCCGACGAGCTTGTGCTGGATTTCGAGGCTGCAACTGTGCAGTGCAGTACAAACAGGATTCTCACCGTTTGTGTCGATCCATGCCGCTGTGTGTTGTCACAAGCACCTCCCCATACCTCTTCCTGCAAGCAGAGGTTGATCTGTTCTATGGCATGACATCTACAGGCGATGGGCGGATTCGAAAGGAGCAGACAGTGGGCAGCAGCACACATCTATTGCTGCCTGGCTGTCTTGTTGGCCTCACTCGCCCCCGCGTTGAGCGTGGAAACGGAGCACCAGTTTGGCTTCGTTTCTGTCAAGACCAATGTGAACACCACAGTTGTGGCCACCTGCGAGCAGCTTGCGGACGCCCTGTCTTCTGAGGTGCAGGACAACCTCATCGTGGTGATAGCATACATCCGTTGTGACCCTGCTGTGTGGGACAAGGCCGTGGTGGTGGCTGGGAACAAAACGGTAACAGGGCCTGGGCATGGAGTCATTGTTGGGGCGGTGGACTGGGGCAACGGCAATGACATGGTGGTCGTGGGCAATGGGTCGTCAGTGACCTTCCAGGACATCATCCTGATGCAGGACTTCCTGGGTGCGAACGCAATGCTGAACCTACCCTTCCTGAGTGCCGGAATGGATGCAAGGGCGACGTTCAAGGGCGTGGCGGTGGGGGTCCGGGTGTGCCCACAGCCCGTGGGCATCTTTGACGAGCGGTTGAGGGAGCTCGAGAGGCCTGGGCACATTCCTGGAAAGCAGGATGCCGCCAGGTTGGGGCTCACAGGGCTTTTCGTCACGGACGTGGCGTTCTCACCGTATGACGACTCGACATGGCGGCAGTGCAATGTGATATGGCGCTGCGGCACCAGGTCAGCGCTGGACCCAGAATTCTTGAGTGACTTCCAGGACGAACTTGTAAGGCCCATCTGTGGGGCCCCGATATCAATAACCGATATGCAGTCACCCGTCGGGTTGAGCCTGAATAAAACGACGCCCCAGCTGGATCAAACAGAGAGTAGTGGGTCTGAGACAGACAAGGCAGCCATCGGGATCTCGCTGGCGGTTCTGGTCATTTTTTTCATTATTGTCATTGGTGGAGTTCTTTTTGTTTTTCGGCACCGAGCAAACCAGAGGCGGCGTAAGGCTGACGAGCTGCAGCGAAGGATTCAGGGGATTCAGGGAGTCTCTGGTTATGAGCGTGGCCGCCAGGATGGACAGCGGGACGTGGGGGCGCCTGCTCAGTTCCGCCCACTGACTCTTGGCTCCAGAACTTCGTCTGGGAACTTCCCCAACGTATTCAACATGGACCTCGCAGATGTAGAATTGGGGAAGCGCCTTGGGAGAGGGAAGTTTGGTTCCGTGTACAAGTGCAGCTACAAGGGTGTGGCCGTGGCAGTGAAAGTGGTGGATCACCGTGGTGAGGGCCTGCAGCCAGAGACAGGGGAGCCGCTGGAGGCTGATCTGTGCAAGCAGATGCACCACGTCAATGTTCTGACTACATACCTGTACAAAACTGTTCGATTCGACAACCTGTTCGCCAGCACCCACAACACTTGGAACATGCAGACGACGAACATGTCAGGGTCGTTCATGGACTCGCATGGCAACACCTTCAGCCACCTGGAAAGTGTACAGAACTTGATGGACAAGAAGGGGTACAGGACGTTCATTGTCATGGAGTATTGCAATGGCGGGTCGTTATTAAGAGGCATCAATGCAGGGGTGAGTGATCCCAAGCACTTTTGCAACAGACAAATGGTTTCACTTTCTTTACCCTGTTTATTGCTTGTGGCAGCCGGATGTGGAGTGCAGGAGTTGATGGGAGGCATAGACAACAGTAATGCAGGGGGGTTGCATTGGTTTGACCAGTTTCTTGCTGTGGACAGGATTGGGGTGCCTGTGGGGCACCTCAAGATGTACAGAATCCTGCCAGAATCTGGTCCCCTCATCAGTGGTCTGAAGAGATGCCACAGACAGCCTGAACATAGCATATTTCGACCCCTCTTTGGTTTCGATAGATTGCATCACAAGTTCTGCTGCTGTACGTAGCCTGTGGACCGCACTTTGGAAGGTTGCTGGGAATCACTGATGCTGATACTGCCCACTGTTCCTGTTCACTTTTGCAGGCGTTCTTCACCCAGGAGACGGGCCCCTTTGTGATGCGTGCCCTGCTGACGGCCCTGGACGTGGCACGGGGCATGAGCTTCCTCCACGACATGTGCATTGTGCATGGGGACCTCAGGCCAGAGTCATGTCTGGTCAGATCCGAGCCCAGCGACAAGAAGGGCTTCGTGTGCAAAGTGGGAGATTTTGGACTGAGCAGGTACGTTGCCGATGCCTCCTCCCTCAAGGCATCCTCTGTGGGCTCCACCGTGTATGCAGCCCCGGAGCTCCTGAAGAACGGAACCCTTACAAAGGCTGCTGATGTGTACTCCATGGGAATGATCCTGTGGCGACTGTTGTCTGACTTCCCGGCTTACAAGAGCATGACTGAGGAAGAGATCGTGGAGTTTGTGCTGCGGGGCCAGAGGCCAGAGATCCCATCCCATTTTTCGAAGGGATACAGGCAACTGGTTGAGGACTGCTGGAATCCAGAGCGCACCAGGAGGCCGCCCTTTCACGAAATAGTGGAAAGGTTGCAGGCCCTGATTGCGGACGCCGCTGCTCGCGCTGGTGACACCTCTGCACGTCAGCACGACTCAGGCTCGCCAAGAGCCCAGACGTCTCAAAAGACATGGGAGCTGTTAACGGGAACGGGGCAGGGAAGCATGTACTCTCCGGGACGTCCTTCAGGTGAAGGATCGACATCTTACCGAAGGCAGGAGGAGGGGCCTTCGCAGAGTGCAGCTCATTTTTCTGGGAATGATCCTTCCCAAGAAGATCAAGCACTGGCGGAGGAACCTCCTGGCAAGGACCAAAAGTCTGGTCTGGAATCCATGGAAACAGGCTTTACCACGGAGGATGGGCAGATTGCGATCACGATGACCGACACAATCCCCTCAGAAAAGCAGTTTGATTCGGCGGCTGAAGCAGGTGGCAAACAGAAGAGTCGTTTTCAAGCTGCAAGCAGCGATGGAGGTCGCGACAGTGTAGATTTTGGGTCGGAAAGAAACTCCGATTCTGACAGAGGCAGCTCACATGGTCGCAGCTTCCTTACTCGCTTCCTTGCGAGCCGGAGCAGCCAAGGAACACCCAAGCACCAGGATCAACCGTCCAGTGCAAAGGGCCGTGGACTGAGCTCCTTGTTCTCAAAGAAAGTTGCCGACTCAACAAGCCCGCCTGCCGCAAAGAGGCACGGCCGCTTCGAGGTGTCTGTTGCCAAACCCAAGACTTTGGAGCCGGGAGACAGACACAATAAGACCACTGGCAGCAGCAGTAGTTCTGGCGCACTTGCAGAGCCTGCAAGGGAGCCTCGTACAGAAGACAGCCATCTCAGCGGCACATCTACAACACAGCTTCCAACGCCGTTCCAAGCAGCTGGGAATGGAGGTGAGTTCTCCAGGCTGTCCACCTGTGTTTGAAACTTGTGGTCACAGTCTTCATTCCTATTCCGGTATGGCATTGGGAGTCAAGCGTAGTGAACCTGGGGCCCCTCCCCCTTTCCCTCTCTTCCTTGCTTTGCCGCGATCCACGCAGACAGAAACTGGCCATGGAGGTGGAGTTGCCAGGTGCCTCTGTAGATCTGCGAGGGTATGTCCGAAGCGATTTTGGGGAGGCACAGCCCTCTGTTGACTGATGGATTATCAGTCAAAATAAGGTCAACAATTGATCCACCCCTTGAAACCCGTCTGCAGTTGGTCGACATCGGTGGTGCCATGCACACTGCTGTGAGATGAGATACTACAGGAACTTATAAACCCTGGAACTGAAGAGCGACAACCGACGATTTGTTAGAAAGGAGGATTCGTGTCCGTTAGCTGTCTGTAGTCCTTTGGGTAAGCCTGCAATGTGCAGGAGCATTGTGGACCTCCAGCCCCTCGATTTGCTGGCAAGGTTTGGCGCTGGACAAACTTCTGGCGGCGGTTGTGCTTGTGGCGCTGCCCTGTGTCTCGTCAGTTTTCCCCATGCGTCGTGCCATGCTGTTCTATGTCAAAAAGTGGAGGAAATGTCGTCAAGTTCACTGCGCATGGAGCACCGAAGTGAACAACGATGGTGTGGGGTGCTTGCAGAATTGGCGGCACCTGGTCTCCATCTGGAGTCGGAGCAAGCGTTCCTGGCCTCAACACAGGACCTGGACGAAGTTCCCAGGCCCCGTGCTCCCCAGCGGGCCACCCAGGAGTCCTGACACCAGGCTGCTGTAAATCGTGACCAAGGGTGCCCCAGATTGAATTTATCGCCCAGGTCGTTGCTGCTAAAGAAGCTCCGCTGAACAAGGCCTGCCAGTTGAAATGACTTTGAAAGAGGAGGGCGGAACTGTTTGTGAGCCATCCGATAGGACTGCACACGTGGTGTAGAACAAGCGTGCCGACTCGCTTCGCAATCAGCGACACATTCGATTTGTAGTCAGCCTCGTGGCCTCAGTTTCAATTGAGCCATCCAATTGTAGTTTGCTTAGAGCGTGCGTGCCGGTTTGTGCATGTGTGTGCATGTGCGTGCGGAGTCGCTCAAAAAACGAAGCCTGCCGTTCTGAGCGCAGGCACTGTCAGCATGATGCATCGGAACGGCGCGGTGTTGATAGTTGGTAGGGCGATCAGGCGGGTCTGTGAGCGCGTCGTTGGCTGCACGTGGCTCCCTGACCTCGAACCAAGCGTTGATAATGGAGGTCAGAAACCCTGTCGATCGTCAATGTGAGTGATGCTGGCAGTGACGGACATTGGCAATTCTGGAATTCTGGAATGGTCAGAAGGGGGAGCGTGTAGGGACCCGGCGTTCGTCTGTTGCGGGTGGAATTCTTTGTGCTGTTGAGGGCAGCTAATTATAATGCCTGATGATGGAGAGGGAGCGAAGCTCGGATTACAGTTCTCCAGTGGGGGTTGCCCAGCCACAACCGACGACGGAAACAGGCGACCGAGCAGTATGCGCTCCTCCGAGCGCGCCAGATTTGCCACACTCCCTGCACGACGAATCTGCCCAATTTGCACACTTCCATCCTGGAAAGCAGCCCCGATCCTACAGCCCTCAAGCTCTCCCCGCACGAGCCCCGGGGCGCTCCTGGCGCATGTGCGTTCTGCATACTCTGCATTTGTTTGCGACGCGCAAGGGCTTTCACCCTTCCAGCGCGTGCCCGGCGTACAGTCCCCACAAGTTGCCACGATCATTTGCACGCCAGTGCCTGCCATCGGCGGGCGCGGTGGTACTGTGCAACCCTGCGCCCGGATGGCTGGCAGTGAATGTGCAGCTTGCACTGTCAGCAAGGCCGGCACAACACCATCGGTAGCGACTGGGCCCGTTTGTCAGTTGGCTGCACACAGGGGTCGTATTTTGCACCCGCGCACTCCTGTACGCCAACCTCGGAACACACCACTCGGGGCCGCACGCGCCAGCCCTACCGCCCCTAGGCATAGGCCCCAGTGCAGCACCAGTATTTGCGGCATCGTCTTTCCCAGCAGCGGTGGATTGATCGCCATAATCACCAGCCATCAGCAGTATTGATGGCGTATCGATACGAAACTGGGTTCCAAACCTCGAAGGGAAGTCCATGAGCTGGTGCAACGCCCCAAACACGCCCTTGCGCATTGCAAGCACGAAGCTATGCAAACCAGGTGGCATCTGAAACAAAATTCGATGCCCAGTATTCCCATGGTCCTGCCCATACGTATGCAGCGCAGGAGGGGCAACGAACATGTTGGGCGTTGCCAGCCTCGCTACAACAAGGCTTCCCAGCCTAAGAACGCACCAGTGTTTTCAGCTGGCGGCATCGCTGGGCTGCTCGTGTATCCCTGATGGACAGGAAGGACGTGCGTTGCGAGAACACATCGCACAGCCTCTCGGCAGGCAGCGGCAAGATGCTGTTTCGAAGCAGAAGCAGAAGAGCACCAATGCCCGGGCAAAAGTTCTCCACGGTTGAAAACAGGCGACAGCTGGTGACCAAAGAGCGGCGGCGCAGATTGCTTCTCCATTGTTACCGGGTACGTTCAAAGCCTGTCACGCAGATTGCGCTGCACCTGGAGAAACGAAAACCGTGGTCCTGCAGACAATCAATCAAGCAATCAGTTGATCAAGAAATGCGCCAACTAATCACCCAATCGGGCAGCCAAACAACCAAGCAATCAGCCAACCTGCACACAACGACAGGGCCTCCTTGTGGCAGAACGCAAGGCAAGTGCAGTGGCTTGCCCATATCCTGCACCAGCGCGTTCCAGAAAGCAAGACAGGGCGGGATTAGGTGGAGGTGCAGCACAAAATGACGTACCAAACCATTCCAGCGCCGAGGTTCGGGCCCCGTTACGATGGTCTGTACATCCGAGGACCACAAGCCTGCATTCAGCGCCATCGGGCCCGAAATGCTGACGCAGAGAAATCACCGCAACACACTCATAGCAGAAGACAGGCTCCCGTACATTGTCGCTCGGACTGGCGGCGCATCTCCCAGGATCCAGTCCCATCCGCATGCACCTCCAGCACCCAGTCGTGCAGACCCCGCAGGTCGGATTGGTGGCCGACGCTGATGATGATTCCCACCCTCGCCTTCAGCACCTTGTACAGCTCGACGGCGACATCTGGCGGGAGGGAGGAGGTGGACTCGTCAAGTATCACAACCGAAGGCCTGAGCATGCCACGCCGCAGTAGTGTGTCAGAGCCCCGCGCCTTTCTCACATTGCAGGTTAGGGTTGCCACTCCATAGCGCCTGCGGGCCGTCCTCCTCCCTGCCTTCCATTCCCCGAGGGGTGGCGGTTCAGGAGCTCATTGCAAAGCGAGAGAAGCAGGGCAATGTGCTGCGAAAACCAACGGTCACATTCGATTTACGGCCTAATGGCCAGCACCAATGGAGACCACTTGTGCATTCAGGCCGCACGACTGGCCTATGGTCAAGAACTTGGACTACTGCCTAATCACACCGCAGCGAGTATCATTCTGCCTGTGGCCAACCGTTTGTCAGTTCCTGCAAGTTGACTTCTTGTACCCTCCAATTGTGCTGATTTGGTATTTCCTTCATCTTTTCCATCAGGTGAAGAAGACGCAACTGTCATTAAGACCGGGGAGGGAACCTTCGCAGCATCAACAGTATCTGTCCGAAGCAACAGAATAGATACAGCCCAGCTATGCAAAAGGCAAACAAACACTAGCTGCGCATGGAGAAGAGAGCATACTGCCGCGCTGACACTAAACACAACAGTAAGATATTTCTGAGGATTTGCTGCTCCATGCCCAGTGGTGCGGCTGCAAGGGCGAAGGTACTTGCCTGCGGTGTAGAACCCTGGCAATGCCTATGCACTGGAGTTCTCCAGGCGACAGTATTTGGCTCCAATCCTTCAAGGGCTCCAATTCTCCTTTGGGCCACCTCCGGCTCCGGCCCCAGAGCCCCACCAACCTCAGCAAGTCGCTGATCTCCTCGTCACTGAGAGCATCCTGGCCCGGATACGTCAACTGTTCCATCAAGGTCAGACCCGGTCCCGCAAGAGGACGCTGAAGCAAACAGCACAAAATGAGGGTGACAACAAATTGCAGACACTACATGGCATTGACAATGGGGAAGTCGGCAAAGCTAAAGCCAGAGCTTGGAGAGCTCCAATGCCGTTGTTCTCAATAAAGCACTGTGCCATGAAAAAATAATGTGAAGGACTCGGTTTTGTGAAGAGAGTTGACAGCACCCGACTTCTCTATATTATGGGGCTGTCGTTGTGTCATCAGAGCATGAGCGAACCTGAACGAAGAATTCGTGCGCTCTCTTCTGTTCCTGAAAGCTCATGGGGACTGAACGCCCTGCGATAGTCCGCGAGCTGGAGCCCAACCAAACAACGAAGCTGCTTCCCGCTGGTGTCATGCTGCAACTTCCTTAAAGCATATTCTCTTGCTGGGGTGTCATAGGCCAACTAACGATAGGGGGCGGCCATCAAGTTGCAGGAACACATGTGATTGCACTACATGTTGAGCTCTATCAGCAAACAAACGAGTCAGCTTCCAGATGTTGAACACTGGATCGACGGCAATGCGGACTTTGCATTTCTAACGTCGAAACGGAGGGGCAGTCGACTTCATGTCCAGCCACTGCCACGTGCTTCACCATGAAGCCTTCGTGACGAGTCGGCCTGCAATGGGACGGTCTCCCAATTCTGCAACCATGGTGGTGTAACGATGCTGGCGTGGGGCTTCGACAGCACAACGCATTCACCTGACGCATTCCTTTTTCACCAGCCAGTGTCACAGCTCAATGCAGATGGTCAATGTGGGGGATTCATGCACACTTTGGGAAACGGCGCGGGGGCAACGCTTGCACGGCACCGTCCCCGAAGTGTGAGGGCAGGCGAGCCAACCAATGCCACTGGTGTAGCAGCGTATGCTCCAACAGCTCTGAACTTTCCAACTACCATGCCAACTGGCCAGCTGGTGGGTTTCCAGATAAGAACCTACCACACTGACATGCTAAAGGGCGCTGATCTTCTACAAACTAGTGCTTTCCATTTCAAGTTTACAGTATACAGACTGCGACAAATTTTGACCACAACGCGCAATCTGCAGCCCCACCTGCGGAAGGAACATGTCTGCTGGGCTCTCCACACATCCAGCATCCCGCGGGTGCAGGCCCTGCAGGCACGCCATCAACGTGCTCTTGCCACAGCCCGAGGACCCCACCACCAACAGGCTCTCGCCTTCCGTCAGACAGAAGCTGAGGTTGCTCACCACTGGCTCACCAGCAGGCGTGTTGCAAGACAGATTCCTAACTCGGAAGGAAGGGCTGCACAAGCGATATGCACAGAAGTATAAAATGCCATTCTTGGGCTATTGTCAAAAAACAGCACTGCAGCTTGTATGCAAGCCACAGGTTTCGCTCTGACATGCTGAATTGTACCCGTGTGCTCCATGCAAATGAGGCAAAATGCCAACAAAGGGCCAAACAAAGGGCAGTGTAAAAAGAACTCCTGTATGCAGTGACACCGAATTCGCTGGAGAGGATACTGAACCAAAAATGGGAAATCTAATCCGGCAGAAATGCACATGCATATGCAAAAACACCTCGTCGAGAATGGGGACATGCTGCTGTTCTTTGTCGTTGCGTTCAGTTTGCAACAAAAGCCTTTCAAAAATCAAAATGGTTGGCTGCTCCGAGGCACTTTGTGAACTCCCGGGCTGAGATGGACTTGTCTCAGCACAGCCGTAAAGCTCCCCACTGGGACAGCCGTTGCTGCAACGCGGTGCCTTGCCAATGCAGCCAGCTTCAAAATGAGCCAATGGGGAAGCTGGGCCCCTGGCTTCATTCGAACAAACAGGGAGAAAGTCTTTACGAGATGTCAGTCACTACATCAACACATTGTGGCAGAATCATCTGGGGGTTCGCCTCGTTGTGGCAGAGGAAATGGATGTCAGTGGGAAGGAAATTTTCACAGAGCGCGACGCGCATCTTGCTGCCATGCCAGCTCCAATTAAGGCCATGCCCTGGGCGACACCCCTTGGCTAGAAGTGCAGTAGTTAACCTTTCCACGATTTGGCACAGAAAACAATGCTCTCCGATCACCTGTCCATTGCAAATTCGGCATGCTCCGGAACATTTACGCTCTTCCTCGGCATCATGCTACCCTGCATGCCAGTCTCAATTCCTCAACACGGCACAAAGACACTTCTGCAGGAAATTCGGTTTCACTAAACTTGCCTCTGGCACAGCAATTAGCCTTCGATGCCACCAGTCATGCCACTATATACAACGGACTGTCAACAAAATATTGCAGAAACACAACCATACCAATAGTTCTTCACCACTGGTAGGACTGGAGGCAAATAACACCAAAAGCGCAGTTTGGAGAACACGATTTGATCCCATATTAACGCCCATATTAACGCCCATATTAACACGGTTCAAGCATCAAATACACCATGTGATCACATTTTTACACAATCTGCGCTCAGTTCGGAGCTGTGTGAATGGGCAAAATTTGCCATTGTAACATACAGTGTATTAAAGCATGCAATGACAATTCTGCTTTGCAACCTGCCCAAAACTGAACTGATCGCTGCACGTATTGAAGCCCACCTTGTCGCCGTGGTGGCCATCAGGTGCATTTGCAAAAGCGTGGTCCCTGCTTCCCAGCTCCTCCATCACTTGTGCAGCCCTCGGCACAAGGCCAGCAAGGTTGGACATCAGTGAAGAAGTGTCCAGCACCTGTCCAGGAGTGAATTATTCATTCACACCTCTTGTCATGTACTCACTGCGACGGAAACTGCATAGTTCTATGCGTCCTCAGCCCGTTTTGACCACCCCCACAGCATCTCTTGCAGCATAGAAGAGTCCCTGCCATGACTTTGTTTGGCAGGGTTTGACCATAGTGTGATGTGATTCTACTCATTGCAATGCATCCTTGATTGGAGCTTTCACCATGGGGATTCATTCAAAGAATAACAATAGGGGATTTGATTTTGTGTGTGCAGACGCTGGCATTCGCAGGGCTGATTGGGGGAGAAGAAACTGCTTTGGAAACAAAATTTGTGCATGTCAGCAGTGCGCAATCCCCAGCAGCGGAAAAGACCATGAACTATCATATTTGCAAAGCTAGTTGAAGCAATTTCCTGTTTTGTGCAAAGAGGTGTTATACAAATTGGCCAGCAACATGTGGACAAGCAGGCACACAAATTACCAAGCTCTCCAGAAGAGGCAAGAAAAAGATAAATCCCTGTTCCCGTACTTGACTCAGGCTGTTGATGAGAGCAAGAAGGTAGAAAGAGATGTTGGAGACGAACTCAGCAGTCTCGTCAGGTGTGCCGTCAGCGCCCCTGCCTTGGCAACAAAGGCAGCGATTCTTAAAGAGAGGAGACGCACCCTCAAGGAACAGGCAACACCATCTCAATGATTCCTGCCGTCCTTGTCCACACAATGAAGCCGTGGAAATTTTCGAGCTGCAATAAGTTGTGTGCATGGAAATTTGGTGATCCTTTTCAAAGTCATTCATCCAAATGCAAGTGTTGAGAGGGTTGGGTGGGAGGTTCAATTACCTGAAAACACCACCACAGCAACACACGTGAAGTTCAGCAGGGATCCCCAGTAGTCCTGCAACTGCACCACCAAAACACATACAGCAATGATGTACCCTTCAGCGTTCTGAAAGTTCAGCTTTACGATTATTTCTCCGCATTTTTCCAACAGACCGTTACTTGGGGGTCTTCGCATCATGGCCACAGCCGGAATGGCGACCTGACTCGGATCAGATGGCCTCAATGTCGGTTTTCTGCCACAGCAACTCATGCATCCGGGGCTCCAGACGCCACGAGTACTCCAGAGGTCTTTGAATCGTGGCTGGGTCTCCTCAGCATTTTCTTGGCACATTACGTGTTTGTTATTGCACCCCATGAAAAGGCCAAACGTTACGTCACAATGGGGAAAGGCATAATATAATACAGTAACCTTTCACGCAAATTTGAAGTCGTCACAGAGCTTCAATCCTTAAGAATGCCCAACTTGGTGGCAGAAATGCGTTACCAGCCCCATTTCCAGAGTGTTGGCTCTTGATGAGTCATTCTTGAAGTGAGCCTGCAATGACTCACTTCAATGGTCAAGGGTGTTGGTACTCCAGGGTGTCGCAGGGACAATGCACTGCAGCGTGTGGCAAAATCCATCCAAATGGGCCTTCGATCAAGCACCCAGTGAAGGTACCTGCAAGGAACCTTCATGGCAAAATATGCCAAGGTCACAACTCGCTTGGGAACTGAAGAAACACTACACAACAATGTGAATTGCGTTGCACCAATCAATGCCCTGAAGGTGCCATGGCAGTGCTTCATCCTATCTGGCAGACTTTTCCAACAGCATTCATCAGGCAGCAGTCCGCACCTTAGTCAACAGGTCAAGCAGCCATCTCCTGCTGACAACCTGCCCCTGCTTCTTCAAGACTTTCTGCAGTTTCTGTTCCAAATACTGGAGCTCCGTTGGTCCCCCTTTACTCGCAGCAATCTCCATGCCCTGAATCCGCAGCCTTAGCAGCGCAGCTCGATAATCGCCCTCCAGCCGTTCTTGAGTGTACACCAGTGCAGCGATGGAGGAGATTGCAAATCTAGCATTACGGCAGCCCGAACAGTGCTCAGTGCAACGGAGCACACTTGTCAGTTGTGCCATTACTGTCTTGATGTTCAGCAGGGGTGAACAACACAAAACAAAGCATGCACTTTGTTGCAAAGAACTGTGCATGACTACACTGCCTGGCATCTCCCAGCAACTGTAAACATGGATTTTTCTCATATTTGGGCAAGTAGCCAGCTAAACTTCAATCCTGTCATTCAATGTACTGAAGTTAATCCTACACGAGAAATCTCCATTTCAGCATCCAAACAGCACCACAGTCCCTGTGCTGCGACCTAGTCTTTTAGGAGTTAGTGTACCATAAACTATCATGCGGAACGACTGAAGGGACCACAAATTCAGCAAACAGACCACAGCAGCCAAGCACACCACTTACCTGAGTATGACAAAGCCGACCACAAAGGATACATATGTTGCTGCAACCACCCGCCACGACTTGGTCGCTCTGTAAGTGAGCCAACTGTACCAGACAACACTGAACGGGGCTGCTGCCAACTTTTTGGCGATGAGGCCCAAGGATGTGCAAAGGGCATGCAGATCTTGGGCAATGCGCTGGTCTGGATTGTCAATGGACTGCAGCCAGTAGAAATTCTGCAAACAATCCATCCAAGCCGTCTGACACCGCACTTGCCAAATGTAGAGTTCAGGGCAAAAAAACTGGTGGGCTTTGGAACGAAAAGTCAGAATTGTACAAAATGCTGATGTGGGTAGACAAAGATTGGAATAGATTTGAAAATGAGGTGGGTGGTGGGTAGTGAGCGGGGGTGGAAGGTGGGGGAAAGAGATGCACAAAATATGAAATTAGCTGACATGGTGCAAGAACCAACAAGCTACAAACCGGCTGCTGTCGTGCCCACGTACATCATCATGGCAGTATTGTTCCTGCAGTTTGTGAGAGAGGGTTGTCCGCCACCGAAGGGCCAAAAACTCAGCTAGCCAGTCCATTGTTGATTGGATGGCAGCCTTTGCCAGAAAAATTCCTGCGCTCTGTAGCCAAATGGTCCAGAATTCCCCTTTCTGGCCTGAAACGAAAATCCTGTAGAAGTTGCCTGTAACCAGTCCAACTGAAAGCAAAGCAAAGTAGGATGAAGCGTCAGAGCATCAATTCTCCGCTTCCATTGGGCACAAGCACACAGTGCACATGGTGTAGCTGTTACCACAGTGTACCTTCAACACACTGGAAGACGAAGTGGAAGAGCTTTATCACGGTTCCATTTCCACATAATGTGACAATAACAATCTGGCTCGAGTGGAATAAGTGCAAAATCATACAATTTTTGCTCTGCTTCTGAACAATGCACCTTTGAACAAATAATCGTGAGCCATGGGTTGCCATTCTGCAGGAGTACAACAGTAGCATTTTTCCTTGCAAAGAACAAAGCATCAGCAAGCGAATGTGTGGACAAAATCCAGTGATATCCTGACCCCCATTGCAAGAGCCAAAACTTCACTCCTTGGCGCAGCTCGTCACATCCAGGCCAAAGATCCGGCTGCATGATGTGCACGAACCCCCCTACTTTTACCCATTTCTAGAGCGCCACTGTTTGGCAGACATCCTCGTGCTGTGTTTTGGCAGGACCAGGACTTATCCGGGCCCCCAAGACACTGATTGGTTGTTCGCAGTTGAATGTCGCCTGCATGATCACCACTGCTCTCCGCTTGGTCATTCCAAAGTGGCAGCGGATTGCCACAACCACAGCCGCAGGCAATCACCATACAATATACGAGACCTCAATGATTCGAAGTGCTCACTGCATTACTGCCCCGGCCTTCCAACTTTCACCAAATGCTGCTCAACGCACGGGCACCTTGCCTTTCGAATTGACGAACTCATTCACCACCGACAGCACGATCAGTAGGAGGGCGGGGTACGCCTTCAGTATCCGCAGCAGGCGCCACGTCCGGCGTAGAAATCGAACGTCGAAGGCGGCCGTCGCGCCGTCGCCATTTGGGGACGCGCGAACGCCCTGCGAATGCGGCATCATCATCCAATCAGCCATCGCGCCGGCAGGCAACCACATTGCCGCCGAACGTGTGGCCAAGGCCAATCTCCACCAAAAATGCGATGCGACGCGAGGGGAGAAAGGGCATCGCGGCGTCGGTCGCGACCGCTAGCCTTCGTGCCATTGCGCGCCACCGACCTCGATATCAGATTGGGGTATCAAAGGGGCCGCTTCGCTGAAGGCCCGCTCCCCGCGCACGTCCAAATAGTGAGGCGCGCCGCCTCCGGGCATAACTTCCGCCTCTGCGGCGCCAGGCGACGCCCGACCAGTGCCACAAAGCGCCCGAGTTAGCGGCTGGCGCGAGCGGACGACACGGACAGGCGGGACTGACACATGGCGCGACCGCTCAGCATTTTTTTCTTTCCTTCTTTCCGTTTTTTCTTTTCTGCCGCCATTTTGCGCCGCCGTCTCCAGCGGTATCTTCCGTATTGCGCTTGCGCTTGTGCCCGTATCGTTGTGCGCACATAATGCGTACCGAAAACGCTCGCGGCGGAAAATTTTACGCGCATTTCGCGCCGGAGGAACAGGGCGAAAATATTTTTGGGTGAATTTTTGGCTGAGTGAAAAATTTTTCAACGCGAACATCTTTCGGCAGACAGCATGGGACCTGTGCGCGCCCGAACAGGAAATAGGACCCAAACCCTGCGGTACTGAGGCAGTGGGCTGCTCGGGCGCCGGTTGTCCTGGCGGCAGAAGGACGGTGGTGGGGGAGCGGTGGCGGCGCATGGCGGGAAGGATCACGGCTGTGGTGTCGCTGGAGGGCAGCGCCCCGCAGGAAGTGGCCTTGGAGTCGGGGGGTGAGCTCTGCGCGGACGGGATTGGCACCCCGTCGGCCCGTCTTCGAAACGACTCTTTTCAGCCGTTTGGCCTCGCGCCCACGAGCACCATTGCGTACACTTTCCTGCAATGACTGCTTGCCCATCCGCCGCCACATCCCTCTCCGAATGAACTCTGGGAGGTGCGCCATTTGCACGAACTGCGCACGCATCCAAGGTGCTCTGCTTGAGCAATCCAGCTGTGCTCACAGATTCAGTTGCCGCAAGCATAATGGAGCTGAAGGCCCGAGCTTCGGACATCTTCAATGCTTACTTGAACAAGCACCACATGGACACTGCGGAAGGTGCGTCGTTTGTCTTGAATGGGAGGCCGCCCAAGGGAGATTGTCTTGTTGACATAAGGGCAAGGTGCCATGCGTTGGTGGAGCCCGTCGCAAGCAAGGGGGATGCGCATCGCGTTGTGTGCACAGGCGACTAGAAATGAAGCTTGCGTGATCCTGGTGATTGTGCAAGAGTGAACCGGCAGCTGCCCAACTGTGCCACAGAGATGTCTGGAAGCATTTGTTTTGATGGCCGGCGAATGGTTCTTTGCTCGCTCCTGTTTGGGTGATTGTGCGTCTGTCCCAGAATGGTTGCTGGAACACTGACGCACTGAGCCGTGCATGGGCACAATGTGCAACTGGTTGTGTTTGTGCTGTGCCTTGTACACTGCATAGTGTCACGAGCTTGTGCTTCGCGGCCTTTGCAGGATGGCAGTGGCTGTACTGCAGCGTGCGAGCTGCTCTCGGAAACACAAGTCAACGATTGCTCTGAAGTGCTGGAAGATTTTGCCTTGATCTATAGTGCACAGTCTGTTGAGAATCTGAGCCAGATCTCCCACCACTGGGTTGACAGAACTATGCATTTCGTTCCAAGACCCCCAAAAAGCACAAACAAGAAATGCGAACACTAAATAGCTGCACATCAAAACCCATTCAACTAAATCCATGTGCATTGGAGCTGTGTTCTACCAGATGCACTTATCCTGAAGACATGATTTCCTGCTAGTTCAGGAGGAGATTGGCAACCGAAAGGAAGAAGGGCCCCGGATGAACGAAAGCAGGGACCTGTGTTGTGACTGGTCTTGCAGGAAAACGTCAACTTCTGAGAGCTCTAAGTGGCCTTTGGCCATCGTGGCTAACAAAAGTTGGAAGTGATGGTTGGCTTACAGCATGGCTGTGTGTGCATGGTGTGCAGTTGACATACTTGAGGAGACTGTTTCGGATGGAGAGGATGAAGCCAAAGCACCAGCGCAGGAGGGTGGAAGGAAGAGGAAGCAGCAGCCACAACGGCGGTCAAATGCACTTGGCAAGAGATCTCGATAGCAAAGCACATCTGGGCAGTTGGGACTGCAGTTTGGAACTATTTGACAGGTTTGGGCAGACGCCCTCATGAGGTACACTCGTTTGCTCATGTCTGGAGCTCTTTGGATAGTCGGAAATCGTATATAAATTCAGCTTTCCATGCTGAACAATTGAGACCAAACACAATGGCTTGGGTCTCTGAGATGACGATCGACTTGGTGTTTATTGAACGCATGTAGAATGGTGAGATGTTCGATGAATATTATCAGCAAATAGCTGTGTTACGCTATGAGCAGTCACAACCCCTCGCTGTACTCTCTGGATCAATTGCATTATGTAAGCACAACTTCTTGGAAACATTCAAAGTCAGAGCACCTGTCACCTAAATCAGACAATTGTCCTCCAAATTTCTCACATCAATGCACTATCCAACTTCCTCCAACTTCCTCACAAAGGGTGCTTTCATGGAGATCACTGCATTTCAAGAGTTCCTCAGCACAACTCATGCCCTTGCGCATCACAGCTGAAATCGCATTAGTCCCCGCTGTATCATATCTAGCCTTACCTCGTCACAGTTGTCCCCTTGTTCTTGACCCATTATTGTTCTTTATCATTTTATTGCAAAAAATGCTGTCGAACCACCCCCACGCACACAGAAGTCAATATAGGCCGAATTTTGTGTCATCGAAGATTCAACCTTTCAAGGCGAAAATGTCGCGAACTTATGCCACAGATCTCCATTGCCTCTGCCAACCCACACACTTTGTGACTGTGTCCCCGAAACACTGGGCCAGAATGCCAGAAAACAATTGCATGTTTGAAATATGTTGGAAGGGCATCAAGGGCGTGGGACAACCGCAAAGACAGAAATGCAGGTGGAAACGGGCAGCTCCAGCTTCAGCCATTCGGCCAAATGTCAATGCCAGATTCAGCGCCGAATGGCCCGAATGGCGGCAGCCCCTTTCGGGAAGGTGGGGATCCTGGGCGTCCCCAAACGCTCCCGTCATCGTCTTTTGGTCCCCTCTCCCAATGGAAGCACCGTCATCTCCGCTTCCAACCCGTCACAGATTCGGGCCCATCTCCGCCCACCAATGGCCGCGGATAGCGCTGGGTTGGTTTGACTGGACCGATGCCAACATGCCACGCGTTAATTATCGCCACCGTCGCAAAAAAGAACAGGTATTCCACAATCGCAAAGAAAAACAATTTCACCATCGCAGAAAGTAACAGTAACCACGGTCCTCCGCCACCAACTGTGCAAACCCCTCGCGCACCGCCAGCTCCCCCCCTCCCCAACCTTGCCCTCCTCTTGTTCGGTTCAGCGGACATCGCCAAGCCAGCCCCACCGTGGCTCCGAGGTCCCATT